AACATACACTTTCTTCTTTTTTAAGCTGAATTTGTTAGCGGCCATCTTGGTAGCCGGTGTTACCAAGACTGTAATTCAAACATGGAGTAATTATCAAAAAGTATTAAAAACCTTTCAGGACCTTAGTAATCAGAGCATTTTTTGCATTTAAAACAAACAAATACATGAACGGCGACGATAAATTCGCCCTTGTTATAGTTCTGTCTCTTATACACATCTAGATGTGTATAAGAGACAGGTTTCTGCGTTTTCGTTTTTCCTAAAAATGCCAGTTTGTCATGTTTGTGATGCTGTTGACGACTTCCATGATGAAGACGGCTTGTATTATTGTAATGTCTGCAACACTCAATCTCAGGTAGTACTACCTCATGGCCCCTAAAAAACCAGGCCTAAGTAAGCTAGCTAGGCCGGGCCTAACTAGGCCCTAGCCTAGCCTGTCACCACATGATGATGTCTGATGATTGCTGCTCACACAGACACAGACAGGGCTCCGGTGGGCATTTGTCCTTCTATTCTACTACTACTGCCGCCTAGAGAGTAGTAGTAGTAGAGTACCTGTCTAGGATGCCTAAGCTAGGCCTAACATATCGGAGCTAGGCTTAAAGTTAATCCTGCCGTCTATGCCAGCCTTGGTCCCTAGATAGATAGACATAAAAAAATAGTATTGAATTTTTTTGTTTTGGTTAATCTACAGTATTTATTAGCCTAATAATTTTTTTTTTCCCGAAAAAAGTATTTTTTCTGAAAAGCACAGACGGAATTCTAGGACTATGTTTGCACAGGGAATATATTCCCAAGCCTTACTTTACAGTGTGGCTATAGACTACTATACTAAGCTAAAATATACTATAAGAATGAAATGAAGATTATTATTATAAAACATATAAATTATAAGGGCTCAACAAAACATTAATTTAAATTGAATTATTGATACTGATGATATTTTATTAATTTATAAGCTAAATGTTTTGTTAGTAATTAATCTTTACGGCTGGTAGTTAGTCACAGACTACGCCCATACGCAATTTAGCACAATGAAGCAGCAAGTTATGGGTTATTCTCCTACCTTTACCTTCAACAATTTTACGCAAATCTGAGGTGTTGATTAGTGGAGCTGACTTGACCCAAACTTAAAAATTCACAGTCTCGTTATCTAATGCACTACAGCATGTCGGAACAATATGCATTTCTATTATTGAACAGTTTTCTACCACAATGTAAAGTATTCCATTTGGGAACCAGTCAATTCGAGCGGATGCCACTTTGAGCGAAGGTCAATTCGCGCGGATGCTAGTTTGAGCGGAAGAAGATCCACTTGTGCGAACAACAACCTGTGCGAGTTATATACGAATTACTTCAAAATTTCCTATTTTTGAGCTAAAAATGTGACATTTTCAAAGGGGAAGGGGGCACACAACAGTTCCAGAATAGATAAGTGAGTAGCATAACTCAATTACAAATATAATTTGAGCTAAAAATTTGACATTTTCAAAGGGGGAGGGGGCACACAACAGTTCCAGAATAAATAAGTGAGTAGCATAACTCAATTACAAATATAATTTGCTTTTTAAATACAGAACACCAACCAGTGGCGGATCTGGGGCAGGGGGAGGGGTGGTGAATAGGGTGGCTAGCCACCTCACTTTGTTTACCGTGAAAAAAATAATGCTCACTCGTCTTGTGTGTGTGCTTCCCGTGCACTCATGTAAAACATACACTTTCTTCTTTTTTAAGCTGAAAAGTGCGCAATTCTATTATAGTTTTAACCTGTTAGCGGCCATCTTTAGTAGTCGGAGTTGCCAAGACTGTAATCAAACATGGAGTAATTATCAAAAAGTACTAAAAACCTTTCAGAACCTTAGTAATCAGAGCATTTTTGTGCATTTAAAACAAACAAATACGACAATACGGCGACGATAAATTCGCCCTTGTTATAGTTCGCACTAAATGCATCCGCTCAAACTGACATCCGCTCGAATTGACTCACAGGAGATTACCATTTTCTTGATGACTTCTTCATTCCTAGACAAATTCAGATGTTGTAGATCGCATCTTCTGGAATGCTCTTGCATTTGTGTATGCTTTATACAGTCCAGCGTCAGAGGTAGGCAGGGTAATTGTTTCACAAACCTGCCACATTCTTATCTTCTATTATTTTTTTTATTATCTCACCCACCAATGCCATGAACTCTCATGATAAGATATTTTAATTCTTCCCACAATTAATTAAAAAAAAAAAACATTAATTAATCTGTTTTCCTGAACTGTTTACAATGCAGATACGATCGTGAGCGATAAAGTGCGCCCTCTCTAATGAGATTAGCTTATGTACTTTGCATCTCGCACACTGCGGTTGATCGAGTAGGCCTGAGATATGTTTGCTTAATTGTCAAAATCTCGGTCAAAATCATTTTTTAAACAAAATTTGAAATAATTCCAATAAAATATTATATTTCACAAGTGTCAATACTAGCAACGGAAAATATAATGTTGGCCGTTTTTATGTCTGATAACAGAACCTAAATCAAGGTAAGGCTAAGCCTTAGCCTAGCAGTGTTGCCAGGCTCGTGTTTCCGGCACCTACTATATTTCTTCACAGACCTATCACAAAATCAAACATAAAAAAAATTCATCCCTGTTTATTTTTTGTGTGGAACACAAAAAAAAACAAAAAAACTTCAGTCTTATTTTACATTTTTTCATGTTTAGGAATGTCTAAATTCAGTTAAACTAGCAATTTCGTATTATATTTTTTCTATATAACATATATAAAAGTAAGATTTTTTTAACTACTAAAATTTTGCTGGGAATGGGGCTTTTAATTAGATTTACTATGACAACTTAATTATTTTAATTTGTAGAGCATGCAGGTTTTGGAACAAGAAGATCCTTACGCTGGTGCTAGTGGTGGCCGATTCAATATGTCTCAGTCCATGCTTGCTGTCAAAGTGTCTGCGAAACCAAGGAAAGGTAGCCCACATTTGAAAGAGAACAAGTTAAAAAATGATTTTCAAAAACCAACCAAAAATCATCATTGTCAATTGTATTTTTTTTACAGTATTTTAATAGAATGTGTGTTTTCTAATGCCTTAAGTTGTCTAAAACAGTGTTTTTACTTAGCAGTTGAAAAGGCTGTCTACTTTCTTAACCATGTTGTAACTATTATGGAATTATAGTCAGGTTTTGACTACACTATAGGAAATAGAAGCTGTGAAAAAATTGCCCGAAACTTGCAGGGCTGAAGACAATTTTTAAAGGAAATAATGACTCCTAAGGCTTCTATTTTCTTATAGTACTGTAAACATTAAAGTGATTAAAATTAAAATCTTAATAAATATTGAATTCAGTATTGTATCTGTATTTCTCTGCAGAGTTGAATGTTGAACTGGCAAAGACTAAGCCATGGTGGAGTTTTGAGGCTTTCCAGATTATTCTACGTGCTCAAGTTGACTTGTTGATTGCACAGGGGGTGTCCAAGCAATTGAGTGTAGGTTTTCATTTTTTTCTGATTTCAAAAGTTCCTTTCTGAAACTAATTGTTTCATTATTCATATTAAAATATAGCCATTTTCATTGGTTTGATTTTCAAAAACTGTAATATTTTTTTTTGTGGTAAAGAATTAGCAATATGGAATTATTGAGCACTCTATATTTAAACAAATGCAGTATAATGACACAAATTTTTTTAACTTTTTAGAAAGTAAATTGGCATAATATAATTGGTACTGTGTATATATCGATATAACTGTATATATATTAGGGTTGTACTATAAACATGCTCAGGCATAAGGAAGGCCCAGTTGTTAATGTGTCTGCAAAGTTTAAATAAATAATAATTAAATGCCTATGGCACACAAACTTAAGCCCCCTGGGGGAGTATTCCATAATGTTGCAGCAGGTACATCAGCACATTTTGGCATTTAACCCTAAAAGGTACCCATTTATACTCCTGGGTTGAGAGAAGCAATGCAGATAAAGTGCCTTGCCCAAGGACACAAGTGAAATGTACAGCGAGGGATTGAAAACCCGACCTCGAGGGTGGGAAACCTAACCGTTCCTGTTGCGCCAAACCACTTCCACTGATTGAACTTATCTTTCCATTTAATAAATGTTTACTATATATATTTATATTCTAATACTATATTTGTTTTTACACGAAGGAGGTTGTGAAAACAATTTGGTTTAAATATCTGCAAATGTCAGGTGTTGCGTTTTGCTCAACCAGTAAACAGCAGATGTCGGCATACCGGAAGATGGTAGAGGAACGACAGCTTGAGGTCCGTGTACGAGCTGAATCTAAAGTACGAGCTAGACGCAAGAAACTGGCAGAGGACAAGAGAAGCACATCTGCAGCAGATGCTAAAGATGGTGGCTCAGCTAAGCCAGAAGGCATTGATAGTGGATTGGATACAGAAGAAAACATTAACACTGTTAGTGTTAGCTTTCCCCTTATAATTATTTTAATCTGAAATTAATACTTTAACAACTAGAGCATTCACTTCATAAAGTGCATACCTCTGCCCTGTCTTTAAATACCGAACAGTATGCAGGCTGGTTATGGGCGATACCATTATTTTCTTTTATGCTCAATATTGCATTAATCAAGCCAGCGTGTGCATTTATGCATAAACAAACAAGGTTAAATTTGAAAACAATTGCACGGTGGTATTTAAACCGCCAAATGATTTTCGACTCTAAATGTTTTGGCAATTTTGGGATATGGGATCATTTTGAATTGAGAAAGATCCTTCAAGTTCAATTCTTCTTTATTGTTATAAGTACTACGCATAAAATGTTATTATAGCGCATTACATATATTTAATAACATTAGCTCAGCTTTATTTTACACATTACTAACATGGTTACCATCATTATTTCATTATGAGTTAAGATGTGGCATGTTAGTTAAGTGCTCACCTTCCAATTCAAAAGACCTGGGTTCAATCCAGACAGATAAAACAATTGTCCATTCCTAAGCCACATTAAGACTTAAATGTTGAGGACTGAAAGTTTCAAATTGACAAATTAATTAGTAATTATCTGGAGTGTTGGATGGACCAAAAAAAAAAAGTAATAGTGATCCATCTAATTAAGCAAATCTTTATGATGATATTGCTCTTTCTTTAAACAGAATAGTGAAGCTACCGACAGTGATGTTGATGCATTGTCTGTGAAGTCATATAGTTCGGCAAAATCAGGGATGTCCGCTGCAAGTAGTCGTAAGAGTGGTTGCACGGACCGCCATACGATAAATATTCGTAAACAGGCAAAATCAGAGAGTGAGCCAAGAGTTGGCATTCTAAGTCTGAAACACCTTGTTTGTTTTTTGTACCTCGGACTGCGTTATCTCAAAGAACCAATCATAATGAGTGATCTTCAACGTTGGATAAGTGCTGGCTTGTTACCTTATTTTGGAACAGAAGATGTTTTGCCTCAATATATGGTGGCAAGTATGGGGTCGAGCGAGCTAAGACAGTTTCTTAATCGAGTAAGTGAAGCTGTATTGACTAGGCAAGAAAACTTTTATACATTAAGCTTAGCACGTTTCAAATGATAGATAGATATATTTTTAAATTTCTATAGCTGGTTGAAACATGGTTTGTCCTTGCACTTTATCATTCCTTCACTTCACCCTTTCATATAAAATTTTGCTTCCTTATCCTTTCTGTCAGGACTCTTCTACGATTCAAGTGATTAATATAATAAATACCCTCAACGTTAAAACCTAACTAAGCATTGTGATATATTGTATGTATATCTATGAATAATTATGTTAGCTGCTAATAAAATTTAATTGGATTAAATTATTAGTTTCAAAATTATTTTATAAAATGGGAAAAAAAAGGAAAATTATATTCAAATTCAAGTCTGGGAGTGCCATTTCTGGTCATATGAAAGTGCCATAATCATACATTTTTTAACCAAAACCATTTTTTTATGGGTGGCTGAGGTGGTATAGACCGTCTTCTGTGAACCTTTTTTTCTGGGCCATTCTATTTTGAATTGCTGGATCCGCCACTGAATGGAAATGCGGCATTGGTGCAGCCTTAGGGATCTTAAGCTGGACAGACTCACTGCGTTGTACGACGATTCCAGCTCGCTCCATGTGAGCAGTAGATGATGCAACGTCATCTGCCAATTGTCATTGGCAGTCTGAATGGATCATCATTAAAAACAATCCAATACACCCGCGTTGTGGCGTTGCATAGAATCAACGACCGTCGAGTGCAGTGAATTTCCCGGCTTTAGACAACACCGCCCGAATGTATAGTCCGGCAAATGATCAATGAGTTTTGTTTCTTCAGGATATACCATCATTGCCACGATTGGAGAAACTCTGGCGTTCACTGACAACATTTTTACACATCGAGAATCTACCACCGGTTGATATAAGACTGTTGATATCTCGGTTTCTATTAGATCTTAACTTGCCACGTAAGTTCATTTCCTTTCCTACCCCTTGAACAGACTAAATTAATATCTATTAATAATAATTATAAATGATGAATGTGAAACTGTATGATTGAAGAAATTCATCATGATTCATATTTGCTATAACAAATATTAAACATAAGTGGACAAAATTTTAGATATTTTATAAATAGAATAATATTTTATTATGAAACTCTATGTCTACAGTTGATTTAATTTCCATTTATTCAATTTTTGTTGTATTGTAAATGAAAAAAACTTATTTTAAATACAAAAAAAAACAATCATTTCTGGTAGGAGAAATTCATGCCTTGACACAGAATTTAGTTCATCGTAAGCTGTCCTGTAAGCACATTGTTGGCAAAAGGAAAGGAAGACAAATGGAGCATCCATCCTGCGAAGGGGAAGCACTGGGGTTCATCTTTATCGCCTTAAAATTATGTTTCCATCTTGATGACAAATTTGAGCACAAACAGTCGGCGATTTGTAGGAAGATTCAGCAGTGTTGTGATGCTAGTGAGTCAAATCAAAAATTCAAAAAACTGTTTTTTCTATGTTCTTTCCACAAGCCTCATCTTCAAACTGATGGGTCAGGGGAAAAGAGATCAGTACTCCAAAACAAGCAAATTTTTTATTTAAATTCTATGTACCAGTGTCTATTATAGTCATGCATTTCTAAACAAAAATCTGATTCCTAATATTTTTTTAACAATTAATATATTTTCACATTGTATATATTTCATGTTTTACTTAATATTTTAATATACATATACACAAAACATTCCCATTTTAATTTTTAAATATACATTTGTATTTTTTTAAGTCAATAAATGAATGTTGGATTTTGAAAGACCACTGCCCAGCTCTGTGTCTTTTGGGCCTGCAACTGTATTGTCAAACAAAAGTCTAACAATTGGTTTCAGTTAATCTAAAGTTCAGTCATCATAGGTTTGTTGAATATCGAAAGCATCAATCAATCCTTTAATTAACAATAGTATTTTCTGGCTAACTTTGTTACATTTCACCCGTGAATTAGGTTGCAACTATTTTGTTTGGGACGAGTGGGTCCTTGCTCAGAAGCTCAGGTGTCAGGAGCAACAGATGACGTCAGTTCCCACAAAACCCAGGTGAGAATTAATTTTATTTTTGATCCTCAAGCTCTGTCCAGAAAAAAAAAAACTGTTGTATGCCCATATATGTTCATAATATGCCCATATATGGTCATGATGTGATATCATGACCATATATAGGCATGTCACATGTTTTTATCAAATAGAATTATAGTCTTCACAGAGCTTAATTTAATATATTTACTTAGAGCCGAGCATTTGGCTATTTTTTTTTTTGTATTAAGGTTTTTATTATTATTTTTATTTATTCATTTATTTATTGATTTAAAAAAATTTTTTTTTGGCTGTCATTCTGTGGAATATTATTTTTAGAATTGAATCTAACTGTTGATATGTTTTACTGTTTTTTGTGTATTTGAGGAAACCAAATTTCAATTTTACTTGTATTATTGACAATAAAATTACTTTGAAATTTGAACTATGGTTTAAAGATTTTGTTTGGGTGTGTTCGCTCAGCTCCTCATGATAAATTCAGTACAATAATGCTGCAAGTTACAGGTTGTTCTCCTACCTACCCCCACTGATCTTTACTAGAAAAGCTGGACTGCTCATCGGTCAATCATTGTACGGAAAAAAGTGTAGCCACCGACGCCATGTTGGAGGGACTAAATAATGTACCAGTTCAGACAGGTTTCTATTGGCATTTGTTAAAATTATTGTTAAAAATAACGATTCTTGCAATACTTTTCAATAATAAATTTTAATTTAACATAAGGGTTTTTTTCAAATCATCTAACCACTCAATGCAACTGTTTATGCAGTTTACAAAAGCGCAAGCGAAGTCGCATTATAGTGACGTTGAGTGTCGATCACTAATACAACGTAATTAACTTCACTTGCGCTTTTTTAAACTGCATAAACAGTTGCGTCAAATGGCTGGATGATTTGAAAAATAATCATTACGTTCAATTTAAATTAAAATTTATTATTAAAAAGTATTGCAATAATCATTATTTTTAACAGTAATTTAAACAGATGCCAAAAGAAACTTGTCTAAACTGATATGTCGCTTAGGCTCAGTGGAATCACTAAAACCAGCCAGTGAGCAATCCAGCTATTATAGTAGAGATCAGTACCTACCCCTCGCATGACATTTTGTTGGACAATATTTGTGTCCCTTACATGTTGGTTGTCGCTGCATTGTAACTGCCACAAATCCTCAGGTTGTCTAACCAAAATTTTATATTAATATTTTATGTAATTTTGTATATCAAGCAGCAATTATTAACTAATTATAACTGTCTACTTATCAAATATTAAATCAACTAGTTTATTTAGGATTTGTATTGAAATATATTTGCTTGATTATATTTTTGTGGTCAGGGATGTTTTGAAGTTAAGAAACTTGAAATCTTTCATCGACTTTGAGAAGAATACATATAGGAAGTGGCTTGCTGGTGAAACGTCTTATCAAGCATGGACATCAAATAGTAAGGAATATTCTAGTTAAATACCATTATTAATTGCATAGAGTAAAAATAGTACCAGAGTACTTATTTATAGTCTTTGCATAATTTCTCTGGTAAATTTGATAAAGGATTGAATGCTCTATTATTCTTTTAATAGGTACCAGTGTCTATGGTAATACATATTTTATAACAAACTAGAGTGGTCATTGCATTGAGTGTATTTCTCCAGCCTGTCCTAAATAAAGAATGAGAACATCATAACAATTTTACTTCCTGTGACCTTTTAATTCCAAAATTTAGACAGTAGTTCTTCTTTAATCACTCATTGGCATAACATGTTCTAATATTTTTTTTAGAAATGGAGACAAGAGTAGAGATGATGAAACCCTTCCTTGCACTGTCAGATGATACTGAAGCACGACCTACGAAGGTCAGACCATCAACGTTTGTACATCTGCACCCTAACCAAGATTCCTCTGCTGAAGTGATGAAGCTGCACATAAGCGGAGTGTCATACTACACAAGGGAAGCAATATTGAGCAAAGATTTCTCAGTTACATCTCTGGAATATGTTTCACAAAGTGCAATAAAATCTGTAGGAGGTCGTTTACTGGAAGATCAACAAAGTAGAGATGACCCTAGTCTTAAACATAGAAAGGAACATTGGCAGGACTCTCAGCAGGATAGCGGAGGTGTTCCAAATCAGGTGGACTTCAATTTCATGGCTGGAGATCTGTTAGAATGTGTTCCATCAACAACAGATGAGGAGCCAGTATTTTCACAGTCCAAGATGCAGAGTGGAACTAAACGTACATGGAGCCAGATCAGAACTTTAGATTGCTATAAGCACATTGACATCACAGATGAAAGGACCGGTGATAGTATAGGTGAGCGAAGTGCAAAATGTAGGAAAGGAAATTTAACCGAGTCAATTAAGAGACATACTTGTAGACGGTTGCAAAAGAAACTTAAAAAGATGTCTAGAGACCACTCCTACATTATCTATCCTGAGATGAAAAGCCGCAACCAATTGGATCTGAAGCTCCAAGCGGATCAATTTCATTATTCGTATATTTGGTTGCTTAAACATCTCAGCAAACTAATTGGCCAAAAATTTGATGTATTACGTACTGAAGTAAATAGGTTAGAGAAAGCACTGTGCCTTGACAAAGAATTAAAAGAGAGTGGCTGAAACAACTCAAATGTGTGTATTGTGATTGTTTGTTTTTTTGTTTTTTTTTGGGTGGGGGGTGCAAAAGACACCTTGAGCAACCCAATTTTGTAGGGCTTCTCTGGTGTTGGATTGGGCTATCATTGGGAGACTATTGCCTATTCTAAAGGGTGTACTACATTCATTACTGTACACATAGGCCATATTGCATACTGGACCAACAGCTCAGTGGTAGTGCTGCAGATGGGCAGAAGAGGCAATTTCCCTCCGTCGGACAGACCTAGACCACCCTTTAAAAAGCGTTTTATATGTACTAACTTCATTTTTAGTTCCTTTGTGACCTTATTTTTAGTTCCTTTGTGACCTTAAGGTCACAAGGAACTAATGGGATAATTCAAACGTGAAATGTGTGTGTGTGTGTGTGTGAGCAGCGGGTTTGTAAACGAATAGGCTCCTAAACGATGCCTCACGGTGGGTATAAAAATTTTGATATGCGCATGCGTCGGAAAAACTTTGCTGACATTTTGTCGTGCGAGGGTAAGCGAGCTCCATAATGCATACCTTGTTGGCGAATATACTCATTTGAGGTTTATGTACATTATAGGACGATTATTATTATTATTATTATTATTATTATTATTATTATTATTTTATTATTATTTTGTCTGGAACTGTTGTCCTAAATTCATGTACAATATATTGTATAAGTAACCTCTGCTAATTAGCATGTATCAGCTCTGTTCAGCTATATAAACCATTTGTTATTCTATAAAGTATAGGCCTACGCCCTTATTGTTTATGCTAATAAAGTGTTTAAAGAAGGTTTATTGCAGGAACGGCCGAAATATTTGTTTAGTAATAAACGTATTTATGTCACTAGTTTTAACCTTTGTTATTTTTTCTAAAATAATGTGTTGTGCTCTTTATTTATCTACCATTTATATCCATTACACATCTTTCAATTAATTGTTATCGTGCTTTGTGAGGATGAATTCGGAAGATTCTCATTAAATGGAATAAAACCCACAGAGGCCTAGAATGGCAATTTTTTGGCCCCTATTTCTTTCAGTAAGTTAATTAGACTTCACGTAGAGTGCCTTGAATACTTTAGAATAAGCCTCTCGATTATAATAATAAATTATTGAGCTTACACTCCCAATGTTACGGTGCGTCAAAACCAACAAAATTACATTAAAAAGCACAAACACAATATTTGAAAGAACCTTCCTTTCATTTTTTTTTATCTATTTATTTACCTTATTGTTTATCCTGGGGGCTGCTCAGGGATAAAATCCGTGAAACAAACAGTAAAACACAAAAAAAAAAAAAAAAAAAAAAAAAAAAAGAAAATGGGAAAACAAACATTAA